CAGTATATTTATATTGATATATTGGGTTTCTGGACTTCATTCATCGTCCTGGTTTTTAAGATAACTAATAAAAACACGACGTTTCTGAAACTGGATCTGTTTCCGTCCTCAGGTGAAGGAAAACACCTATTCTGTTGGGTCCATTAGAAAGAGCTAGCCTCAATCACTGGACCCAAAAGAATAGGTGTTTTCCTTCACCTGAGGACGGAAACAGATCCAGTTTCCAAAACGTTTTTATTAATTATCTTAAAAACAAGGACGATGGATGAAGTCCAGAAACCCAATATATCAGTGTGTTATACACCATCATCAGAATCCTATAGTAACTACTAGTATATTTTTATGTTTCATCATTGTACTCTTATTTGGTATTAGTATAATCCATGCTTTTACATACATATTTTATAAATGTTTAATGATTTATTCATTGTGATTTGTCTAAGAAAATATTGAGTAATTGTGATGGATAAAGTATAATTAATTTGTAATATGTAATTGACATGACCTGTTTGTTGTCATTGACTATTTCCATATCCACTGGTTTTCTAGCTAAGTAAGAATGTAAACGAATGAATGAAGAAAGGTGGAAAGACTTGATCTCACAGGCAGCTAAGGTGAGAAGAAGTGAAGTGATTTGTGAACTAAAGAATGCCCAGTTTGAGAGTCTAATCAATTGATAAAGAATGTGTTAGAGAGGTTCCTAAATGACAACAAAGTGTGGGACAGTTTTTCTGTCAGTTATACATCTATAAAATGCTACTGCAGATAGGCATATGAAAACTATTGACTTTTGAATTTGCTGTTTTATAGTAGGCTAACTGATATCAGTATTCATGTTGCTGCTAATATGATTGGAACAAAAAATTTACTGCAACAAGAAATTAGATAGAATTTGGGTTGTGTAACTGGCATTCATTTTGTTGCACATAAGCTAGTTTAAGTCTGAAGAAAGCAGTCTTCTGGGATTTGGCACCGTGTATATGTGGTGTTAACTCCCAGAAGACTGCTTTCTTCATAGTCACTGCCGTGAAAGCCTCAAATCTTACATAGTTTAAGTCTCTTTGAGTGCAGTACAAAATGGGAAGCATACAAATGATCCTGATTCTGTTCTTTTCTGCCAGCAATCTGCATACAGCTAAAGTAAGTGATTGAAAGCTTTCAAAGGAGCATACAGAAATTTCAGTATTTCATTAACATGAGATGCGTGGCAAGCATAGTAAGAGCTATCACTTCTCTCATGAAAAGCCAGAAATTTGTTACTGTTCACCAAATGTGTCACTGCAGAAAAAGGCAATGCTTCTGTAGCTTCTAAGTGTTTGCTTAAAAAACTCACTGATTTCAAATTTATTCACATGCTCCATTTTCTGCTGGACTATGTAGGAACACTCAAGAACTTTCCACTTATCTTTCAAAGAGAGGAACTTTTTCTAATTATTGTTGAATCGCATGTAAAGAACAAAATGACATCACTTGAATCAAAATGCAGTCCAAGATATGATGAAGCCAGTCTGTCAAAACATATCACTTTGGGGTCTACTTGTAACTACAAATAACTATAACACTATCACTAATCTACACAATCTACAAATCACTATAGCACACACTAAGCCTTCTCAGTTTGCTCTATCTTTGCTGGTTGTTGCTTGGCAGTGGCATCTGCCAATGAAGATTCATCTGCTTCCCTGTTCAAGGACAGCTATCAACTGTGACTGCCGATTCGCAACTTATTGCTAACTGCTGACTGCCTATCCTTTCAGTCCTCGCTATATAGCCTAGTGGCAGACTGCATAGAAAATACAGTTTCTTGTGGTTCCTCTTTTGTTGTGTGTATATCTGTTGCCACAGAAACGTTTTTACTGGGCCAATGCTGAGCAATGGACGCCTATTCTGCTCACCTATTGTGCCTTTTATGCATCATGTCACAATATAGAACTGCATGGATTAAAATAACACTGCTAGGTCTTCCATTGCACCTGATAAACAAAATTTAATCATATGTAGAATAAAATATCTGGAGGAACGGTTTTTAAGTCAGGGAGTCATTGAAAAGCCAAAGTAATTTCCGATAATTTTGCCTGGCCAATACAAAGCACTCTAGAAAGTTACAGTGTCAGTAATGACTCATCATTACAAGAAACAACTTTTACCATTAAACAAGAATGAAGACCGTATGCCAGCTGTTTATAGTGAGCTGCATGAATTTAAAGTCCTTCGAAGTGGAAAGAAATTGAATTAGCCTTTGGAATTTTCATTCGCCAATAAAAAAAAAAAAGATGCCCAGTTTTAGGACACTCATAAATATCACAATTCTACTTTCTTAATTCTTAAAAGCTATCGCCACAACAGGGTATGGAGGCCCATAGATTTGTGAGACGTCGAGGTTCCCACATTTTCTATACAATCAGCTCACAGATGGCAGTGAGGTTATCAGCCTAATGTGCCGGCCTTCCTTTTACCCCCAGGAAGATTCCTGGGCCTCATTTCTGTTAGAAGCTCATTTGACCTCAGTATGACAGCGTGAATTAGGTCAATTGAAAAATTCAGTGACCTCACCAGGAGTAGAATCTGCAACCTTCTGGCTTTTAGCATTGTGCCTCAACTAACTTCTTACACATACAAAAGGCCAATTTACAGCTGTAGTAATGGAAGGTATACATATGTGTTTAGCCATTGCATTACAAATCCCTGGAAGGCAAATAATTAGTCTGACTCCTATATTTCTGAGCTGGGTCCTATAACCCAAGAAAATCCGTCATGCCCTTTCATCCAAATAATTCCACTCTGTTTGTATTCACATTTCCTGGTACTCATTTCTGTGAGAGGCTCAGTGAATAAACAAGTAATTTTCCTGGGGAGTAAAGCGCAGCTGGCGTGTAAGGCTGACAACCTTACTGCCATCTTTGAGCCGACTGTCTAGATAACGTGGAACCCTCAACATCTCACAACCCTATGGGCCTTCACGGCCTGTTACAGGGATAGCTTTACTTACTTTACTTTTACTTGTATTCACATTTACGTGTAGTGAGAAATTACTTCCTCTGTAGCCTAAGTCTGGAAGAAATATTATTGATGTAGTATATTTTCAACTTTCTGTTCATTTCGACAGGCCATTCTCCAGTGGCTTGCAATGTTGTCATCAGTCTGCACCAATATCACCACACTGCCTGTTTCTGAAGGTGTAACTGCATCAAAGTCTGAACTTAAAAAGTATGAATGAAGAGCATGTCGATGGACGTGACATGTAGACCCATTGCCAAGTAACCGCTGTGTAAACAGGAGACAGTACGATACCCATTGCTAGGGAACAGCTCTGTGGGCACGCTGTTTCCCTGGCAATGAGAGAACATGCAACAGTGGAACACATTTTTCTGTATGAACCGTGCCAGGGCCATATAATGAGGACTAGTAATTCAGTGGTTGGTTGAGTCAGTTGTGAGAAGTGAGAAGCAGGTAGCTGAGTCTGGGGACAGTTCAGGCACCCAGAGGAATGGGGAAGTTGCTGGAAGCAATGACTAGTGAATAGTGAGAAGAATTCATGTATGCTCTATTTACAGAGAATTCTGGAGGGTCTAACTCAGTGAGACTGTCATAGTTATTTATATTTACGAGTGTAGGTTTCCAATAAATCCAATTATCAATCTAAACCTTGTCTCTAGTCATACTCAAACATATGACAATATGATTCAACTGCTTTAAGCCAAAAATTTGGAAATGAAACGAATATAAATGACAAAATGACTATACAAATTGAGCGGCCATCACACAAATGACAGAACAATGGCATGAGGTTTGACACCAACTTCAATGGTGCACACTTAGTAAAATCAGCTCTATTTAAATACTTAAATAGATGTAACACATGTATTCTATGGATCACTGTTTAATCAAGAAACATTTTCTCTCAGGGGTACACTTTATGATACCGAACTAAAAATGCATTTGGTCACATAATTAAAGCTAGTTTAAAACAAGTTAAAATTAAGAGAACTCACCTGTAAAAGGATTAAAGAGACACATATTAAAGTTTCATTAAGTCCTCTACTAAAGTGAGTCTTAAAAATTAATTAAGTAAAAAAATATTTTTAACAATTTAGTGGATATCTATCTTATCAATTGAATAAGACTGGGCTGGTAGTTATGCAGTGTTACTTACAGATTTGTTTGTAAGCATGAAAAAACTAATTTGTGCTCTCCCAAATGCAACTAACATTCAAGAACTTTCTATCCTCGCCATGTAGTCTGCCAAAGATCAATTGATGTTTCTGCTTGCTACCTGCTTCATGAGGGATTCTAGCTTGGCTTATTCTTTGACCCTGAGGATGGAGGTGATACATTCCTCTGACATGTCTGTTGATTTGTAATCAACTACACAATGTTATATCCCAGAAAACAGAACTTTTCATAACCACTGCTGTGAGAGCCCCATTCCTGCATCCAAGTTTTTGCAGATACAAGATGACCATCTGATTTTGAATTTCCAAGCAACATTACACACTACAGAACGATAAATGTTCATGCTCTTTTGATAACATGTGAGCAGTAAGCTGGTTTTAGCCATATCATGTATACTGATCACAAATATGCCAGCTAATACATTATTAATATTCATAGTCTTTTTGTTATCCCATCCATTATTTGTATGCAGAATATACAGTGCGTACATCAAGTGCGCGCCGCGGCTGCAATTTGCCGTGAGTCATACCACCGCAGAACGGATGCAGTCGCGGGGAGGAGTTGCAACTCTTCCCCGCGACTGCATCCGTTCTGCGGTGCTATGACTCACGGCAAATTGCAGCCGCGGCGCGCACTTGATTGTACGCACTGTACTAATACAGATAGTACCCATTAGGCAATCGAAATAATGATGTTATTTAAATGTGAATAAGCTTCTACGAGTATTCACTGAAAAACATCATACTTTTGTATCATGGTTGACAAAATTTATATCACTAACAAAAAATATGAAGATGAAAAGGGTGAGATGTTTTGACTCCACTTACAGTAATTCTATCCAGTTCCTGAGGGATTTAACTTCCTGGACACTCCTTTCTCAGTTGAGGTGTTTGAAGTTAATGTTCAGAGGTTGACTTTGTGGGTATTCCATTAAATTGATGGTAGCTCTGGTCACTTGCAGGGTTTCTCTACTGGTGCCACCCCATCACAACTAATAAAGAATAACAACTGTATAAAGCCTCACACAATGCTGATTACAATCCTCAACTTCATCACAACTTTCTTTAAACAGAACCTTTGAAAAACCTCAGCTTCAAAATTTGGAACGGTAATCCACAAATATTTTCATAAACTTTGGGGTGCCCAGGAAACTAGTTAGGCTGATTAAAATGTGTTTAAATGAAATGTACAGTAGACTATACAGGTAAACATTTGTCTGATAATTTTCCTATCCATAATGATCTAAAACAAGGAACTGCTTTATCACCACTACTTTTCAAATTTCATTAGAATACATATATGCCATTAGGAAGGTCCAAAAAAACCATGTGGGACTGAAATTAAATGGGACACATCAGGTGTTGGTCTATGCTGATGATGTGAATCTACTGGGAGATAACATAGATACCAAAAAGAAAAACGCAGAAGCTTTAATTGACACTAGTAAGAAGGTTGGTCTAGAAGTAAACATAGAGAAAACTAAGGATATGTTGCTGTCTTGTCACCAGAAAGCAGGGCAAAATTATGAAATGATTATAGCTAGCAGATCTTTGAACACAGTTCAGATATTTGGGAATGACAGTATCAAATCAAAATCTGATCCAGGAGGAAATTAAGAGGAGGTTGAATAAAGGTAAGACTTGCTACCATTCAGTCCAGAGCCTTTTGCTTTCTCATCTGTCTAAAAATGTGAAAATTGGAATTTACAAAAGTAAAATTTTGCCTGTGGGTCTCTATGGGTGTGAAACTTTGTATTTGACATTAAGGGAGGAACATAGACTGAGGGTGTTTGAGAACGGTGTGAGAATACGTGGTCCAAAGAGAGACGAAGTGACAGGAGGTTGGAGAAAACTGCATAATGAGGAGCTTCATAACTTGTACTCTTCTCCAAGTATAAATTAGGATGATCAAGTCGAGGCGGCTGAGATGGGCAGGGCATGTAGCGCGAATGGGGATAGGAGGAATGCATAGAAGATATTGGATGGATAGCAAGAAGAAAGGAAACCACTGGGAAGACCAAGACGTAGGTGGGTTGATAATATTAAAATGGATTTTAGAGAGATAAGATGGGGTGGTATGGACTGAATTGATCTGGCTCAGGATAGGCATCAATGGGGGGCTCTTGTGAATGTGTTAATGAACCTTTAGAATCCATAGATTGTTGGGAAGTTCTTGAGTAGCTGCACAACTGGCAAATTCTCAAGAAATGCTCAGCTCCATAAAGTTAGTTAGAATACTTGATATTATGTACAATACCCGCCATACGCGCGCGCACGCACGCAAGTGATTTAACGACTAACCTCATGATCATGCGTACAGAAGTAAGCATCTGAATGATAAAATTCAGAATAGAACATTTACATACCTAACGTCCTCGTTCTCAAATGTACCGGGCATGCTTTACCAACTTAATAGCGGGAATGTCAAACAAATTCCCAAAGCAGGCAGTCAACGTTTTTGCGCCAGACGTCTACAGGTGCAAACGTAGCGAAAGGTATGCTGTATTATAGTGATGAATCACTGTGTGAATGTTATGTTATTTTTGATGTGAGGTTGCTGATATTTGACATGTCCAATTGTAATTCTCTACAGCTATGGATGAAATAAAGAATAATAATAAATGACATGGTTTCGTATTAGTTCGAGGCCTTTGTCAGCTTACTTCACGTCCTTGTATCATATTATAAACCTTCCGCGATAATAACTAAACCTCTAACCCCTCTAACCGGTCTAACTCAACATAACGTTCCGGAAGCGGAAATATGAATTGGGCAGTTCTCCCGCTCTCCGGGCCCTTCGGGCTGCTTCGGACAGAGGTAGCTGCTGTCGCTGCTGTAGTCACCTGGGCAGTCCGGCAAAAATTTGTGACCAGAAAATCGATTGCCGTCCTACCTTTATCGACCTAATACCAAAACAGTCAACAAACGTAAAAAGTAATCAAATTGAAGTATTACAAAGCCTTTCAGCGATTTCGTGTATGGTGAAGACATGTATTTCAAGAATATGTATGATTACTTCTGAAAACGGTTTGTTGAAATACTAAGAGGAGAAATGTATGCATGGGATAGTGGACCTTATTATAATTATACATGTCCTACCATACAAAGAAGCGCCAGTTACGTTTCTTGCCCCAGTAATTTCCATTGATGTGTTTGAAAAGTGTGCAGTGCCTGTGTGGTTGGAGTTAAAATAGTTAATATTACTACTGGCATTATATTAAGTATGCATTTAAATTTCATTTGCAGGCAAAAGTGTAACTGCAGGAGTATGCATGTTTGTTTAATATTTGTAGGGGCTGCAGAATGCTTTAGTGCTCCCCTTGGCAAACCTGTTCAGTTGAACAACAAGCAGAAGGTGCACATATGTCAAGTTTTCAGAATTTATGTTCAAGGAAATTAATATTAATTATGAATAAATAAGTTGTTCCTGTGCTTAATTAATTATACATCAGGCCATGAAGACTTGTGGTGGAGTGGAGGTATGCTTCACCATTCTTGACCTCTGCACTAGGTGGAGTTTAGTGGGCAACTTAACATCTGGGCTGCTTTACACACCCCCCTTGTATGTATCGGATAGGAGGCTGTGTGGGCCCCCGAGCTGGTTTGGGTGCTGTGGGGAAGAGAAAAAAGTCTTGCCTCTGCCAGGAATTGTTCAGCCCATGGTCTGTTGTTTTGCAGACTGCACTACCCTGGCTCCCATCAATAAATTATACCAGTTCCAAAGTGCCATTTCAAACATGCTGTCCTCTACTTTTACTATTAGAATTTTGAGAGATTAGTTTAAATTTGCAGTTGTAATTACCAAGTTACTTCATTAAAATTTTGGGCCATCACCTGTATGATCAGAGAATCGGAACAGATTCCGCCCTGAAAAGATGGTTTGGATTCCATAGATTCTGAACATGTACACTACATCATGCAGGTGTTTTGAGAGCATAGGTGGTCTGGCTGCATACTTTCTGAAACTTGGAAGTAGGTGCTTTTAAGCGGTAATGTTCTTCCCTCTCATTACTTTTACTCATCAGGCAAGAGACCCTGATATTGATTCAGCTGAAAGATAGAGAGCCCTTCTGGTGTTTTGAAGTGGAAGTTTCAAATGCCCTGTTGTGATTTGAACTCCGTCTTTCAGCCCATGATGTTACTGACTGGGCCCATAGAATGAACAGAACAGCCATAGTACTGATTCATCAGAATTTGGTCAGAAATGCTAAATTTTCTGGAACTGATATATGTTCACTATTTTTACAGTTTGAGTGGTAAAAGTGTGTGTATTGTACTTGTTCTCTGGCTCATCTCTTTACACTGGCATCCTTTACAACAGATATCAGTCTTCTCTATATCATCTGCTTTTTGCTTCCATATCTACACTTTCGGCTGTCATAAATCATTCTCTACATTTTCCACGTATCTCAGTCTGGGCCTTTCCGCTATTCTTCTTCCTCTTGTCTTCATTCCGCATGTAGGTTCTAAAGGGTTCTGACAGTGGCGTGTAACACACAGAATTACTGGGTTTTGGGGCTTTCTCCAGCATCCAATATTCTAGAGAATAGAAAACACGACATTTTGGAAACTGGATCTGTTTCCATCCTCAGCTGAAGGGGGGAGAAGACATACTCAGTTGGGTCCCTTAGAAAGAGCTAATCACAATCACCGCGATTATGCGTCTTCTCACCCCTTCACCTGAGGAGGGAAATGGATCCAGTTTCCGAATTTTCTATTCTCTAGAATACTGGGTGATGGTAAGAGTGCAAGTACCCAGTAATTCATTGCACACATATTCTCAGCACTCCATGTGACCTGGGCACAGAAGCCTCCCCACTACATGAAGGTGGTATCTGAAGCGGGCAAATTACAATTTTATATTAAGAGGGGCAAAATCTCACCATGTTTTAATGCTTAACTCCAACAAACACTCTTTCTGTCAAACATATTGCTTCAGGCTATGAGAGAACTGTCAGACTGTTTTCTTTTAACTGATTGCAGTTACAAAACCGAAATGTCTTGGTCCAAGGCAAGAAACAGAAACTGTTAAAATACTTTGCATGATTGTATCACCTAATGTAATTTATATGTAGGACATTTTTATTGTGTCCATACCAGTGGTATGTTGTTCAGCAGTACCAGTTATATGTTTTTAGCAGTATAAATGGTATGTTTGCAGTATCAGTGGTATGTATTGGGGTTTGGGGTTCTCACAGCAGTGGTTATGAAGATTTCAGTCTTCTGGAATACGAGTATAACACCATGTAGTCTGTTGAAAGTCAACTAGAGTTTTGGAAGTATATGTCTCCGCCATCTTCAGGGTTGAAAAATAAGTGAAGCAAGAAGCCAGCATGAGATGGTGACATGTTCCACTGAAATGTCAGCTGACTTTCAGTAGACTGTGTGGTATTATATCACAGAAGATAAAACTCTTTGATAGTATGTTGTTGAGCAGCATTGATGATAGGTTGTTTAGCGATACCACTGATATGTTGTTTAACAATACTGATGGTATATTGTTTAGCACCATTTATCATAAAATCTGAACCTAATTTAATTTAAAATTTGTTGATAAAAACAGAGAATAACTTATGTAAGATTTGAGGTTTTCATGGCAGTGACTATGAAGAATGCTGTCTTCTGGGATGTGGCACTGTGTAGATCTTGTGTGAACCGACATTTCGGAGGAACGTATTGCCTCCATCTTCAGGGTAGAAAAATCCGCGAGCAAGGAATTAGTATCAGGTCTGTGGCCACCAGCTCATGCTGGTTCCTCGTTCGCGGATTTTTCTACCTTGAAGATGGAGGCGATACGTTCCTCCGAAACGTCGGTTCACACAAGATCTACACGGCGCGACATCCAAGAATACGGCATTCTTCAGAGAAGAACTTAAATTTAAAAGGATAACCATTTTATGTTAATTAAACTTTATTGGACTCTTAACGTTGCAGTGCTTTGGTGCTCAGATTTTACATGCTGGGCCAGCCGGATTTAACAAAAGATGGACTGTGAACTTACACTTGAAATGGACTACAAGTAAAAAATAGTAGAGAATCGGTGTGTGTTTTGACATTCTCAAGCTTCCGCGAGGTACACTTGAAGTTCCATTGCATTTGAATGAGACTGATAGGTAAAAGGTAAAGGTAAAATTGTCCCTGTGCTTAACTAATTAAGCACTATGCCATGAAGGCATATGGGGGAGTGGATGTATAGATCCACTTTTCTTGACCTCAGCACTAGCTAGAGGTGAGTGGTCATGCCCCTACCGCTTTGCTCCCAGGGCAAGAGCCCCAGGTATCCATTGGATAGGAGGTTGTGTGGACCCCAGAGCCGGTCTGAACAACATGGAGAAGAGCTAATTCTTGTCACTACCAGGACTTGAACTTCGGTCATTCAGAATGTAGCCAGTCGCTATACTGACTACTCTGTCCTGACACTGATAAGATAAAATTATATTTACATACACAGTGACAAGAGCCTATCAGGACTGCCAGCAAACGTGCCTCTTTGTCATTTCTGAGTACCAGTTACATGCAGTAGAAAACCAACCACCAAAGTAGTGGGCAAAGTAGATTGTGCCAGGCCTGGCAGAACAAGTCATATCATCTTGATAAGTTTACTGACAGTGACAGAGGTCATGTTTTCGCTATGTCATTAAATGTTTCTGCAGACAAATGTATGTATATTCACTGCCTTAGAAATGTGTTTTGTATTGTATTTGTAGATGAGAGAGCAGGTCAGTGCAGTTGATCCCGTGGGGAGGGCAACTTTAAACCTGATAACACCCTTAATCATATGCAAATCTAATAAACCAATGGAGAGGGCAAAAAATGGAGCCCGATATTTCCGTAACCCACCACAGCCCCACATGTGCATTCAAGATTTTATTCAGGTAAAAATGCTGTTGCAAATGCCAGATTATTCTGTTATTACTGGTTGAGCTTTACAGTGTCAGTCTTATCTGACATAATGGTGAAAAAGTCAGGACACACCTCGTGGTTTTCATGTATATTTATTTTCTTTTCCCACACATAAGTCGATTTTAACTATTTCATATTTTTGCAGCCTCTGTCAATACCACCACAGCTCATCAGTGTGTTCATCTTGAAGTAATTAATTAAATGACACAATTAATTAATGTTTCCCAATTTCAGCCATCTCCCAAATTTTTTCCCACCTGTAGAAGTCTATCCTGACTTATTTTCTGTGAAGGGACATCACTATGGCATTAATTTCTTGTATGGTAACACTGCAGATATCTACACGGATGTGCCTCTGACAAGGAAATAACATTTTTTGGTGTCATAGATGTTCGAGAGATAATAACAGCAGTATTTTAGCATAACGAAACTTTACTCTGTAGGCAGTCAAGTGGTGGATCAGAAATGAGGGTGCAAACCTAGAAACTGAAGATGTGATATTGTGCTGTTTGGACAGGGCTATCTCACAACTCAGGGGTACTGATAGCAGAGTACAGAACAGGGATGAAATGGCGATTAGCAGGGGCTACAGTGCAACTCTGTCCAACGTGCCACACACAAAGTCACTTGGGATTGAGCCCAGCATAACTACTTATGCACATGCAGCATGTTAACACTTGACACTTTATTGTTATAATAATCTGAAATTGCATAATGACAATAAATCACATGCTTACGAAACTTTTTTTAATATATATATATATATATATGTTGTAGTAATGGTAGTAGTAATTTTGTGGACTGTGGTTTAGTCATGTCATAGTACAAGATATTCACATACACTTACACATAGCAACATCCTCCCTCGAAATAGTCGCCATTTGCCACTCTGCAAGTCTGCCAACATTGGTATAGCTGCTGGAAACACTGCTGAAGGTATTTGCAGGAAGGTCTCATATTGCTTCCCCTGTGGCAGTGATCTCCTCCTCAGCCAACTGAAATTGACACCCACGTAGCTTTTCTTTCAAGCAGGGAAAGAAAAAGAAATTGTATGGTGCGGGATTGAGTGAGTATGAAGGGTGTGGCAAAATGGTGACTATAGTTTTTCCAGCTCTTCTTGGACAAGTACAGAGTGATGTGCAAGGGTGTTGTCGTATAGTTACAGCCAGTTCTTCCTGTGCTAAACCTCAGGACACCTATGACGAACTGTATTGTGTAGACAGTGAAGGATCTCCTTGTAGCAGTGCTTGTTTACAGTCGCTCCTTCTGAGATGAATTCCATGTGAACAGTTCCAGATGAGTCAAAAACCGGTTCAAGCATTACCTTGCCTTTTAACTTGTCCTCTTGTGGTTTGTTCTTCCTTGGTGATGATGGTGATTTCCAGGTGGCTGAATGTTGCTTCAGTTGTGGATTATACAGAAAAAACCATGTTTCTCCCCTGTTATGAACCGGTTGAGAAACATCTCATCTATGTCAGCACTATTGATCAGTCACCACAAATCTCATGCGATTGTCATGTTGGTCTTGCATCAGGATGCATGAAACATTGTGCTGGGTAACACAAGACATGTTCAGGTCAGACAGAATTTTGTGCCAAGTACCATGGCTAATCCCTGCTGCTGCTGCTGCTGCTGCTGCTGCTGCTGCTGTTGTTGTGGTTTCATATGCCATTTGGCAGCAGTTGGCATGCACCAGCGTTGCAACTTCTTGGATCTTGAGTTCAGTTCTTGGCTGACCGGTATGCTCATTGTCTTCCGCACGTCTCCCCCCTGTGCAAAACGTTTGTGTCACTTAAACACAGCACTACAGCCCAAGGCTTCTTCGCTGTACACTTGCTAGATCATCTGAAACGTTTTGCTAGCAGATTTGTCTAACTTTTGCCAGAACTTGATGTTTTCCCATTGCTCAAACTGCAATATTCATGATTTCCGCTGCTCACAGACAACTACCCTCCACAACAGTAATGCATGCCGCTGCTTCTTGCTGGGACGAGAGAAGAACGGACACGGCACCATCACATATCTGCTGTAGCGCATAACAGTGCCATTTTGCGGCCAATCCACAAAATTATTGACTGTACTGTATATATATTCTGGGTTACTGTGATGAACAGGATGGGTTCTGGATTAGATGATTGGCTTTATTGGCACTTTGGTTACAATTACAGAGATTATAACAGCTCCCACATTGAACTCCTGAATGACGTCTGTCTGATGAATCTGTATGAAGAATCTCTCAGTATTGAATGCTGTGAGTTAATGCGGCAGTGAATTGTCCTCTGTTATTTGGTTTATTGTCGTGGAAACAGGTGGTAGCAAACCGTTTCCTTGCAAAATGACTTCCACTTCTGCTGCTGTTTTGTCTTTCAGGCAGTGTTTACCGAGCCATTGCCTAGCAAATGGTCATATTCCGTCACAATATATATATATACAGGTTGATTCAGAAATATGTACACAATTTCAATTGGCTATATTTCCTGAATTATATGTTGCATTTGAATTCTGTAAATTACATTTGATTATACGTACATGGAAGTTTATAGATGTTCAATGTGCCTCCCTCCAGTTGCACGGATAACATCTAGACGGTAGCTGAATTCATCCCACACTCGATGACAAATATCTTGCATCACTGAGTTCACCACAGCTGTGATACGGTTTCTTAGGTCATTCAAATTTGTGGGAAGAGGTGGTATGTAAACTGCCTCTTTCACGAATCCCCACAGGAAAAAGTCGCAGGGTGTGAGATCAGGAGACCTCAGTGGCCAGAACTGAAGTGCCAGGTCTTCATTCCCCATGCGACCTATCCATCGTTGAGGTAGAGATTCATTCAGGAAACGTCGAACATTCAGGTGCCAATGGGGTGGAGCTCCGTCCTGCTGGAAGATGTAATCTCCTGAATCTTCATTCATTTGAGGAACAAGCCAGTTTTGCAGCATTCTAAGATCCGTTACTCCAGTAACCATGTTTTCATCAAAAAAGAAAGGTCCATAAACCTTTGTTAATGATATTGCACAGAACACATTTATGTTCAGGCTGTCCCTCACATGTTTGAGTGTTACACGGGGATTTTATAGCCCCCATATGCGAACATTTTGCCTGTTGACTTTCCCACTTAGGTGAAACGTAGCTTCATCGCAAAAAATTACACGAGGCAGAAATAGTTCATCTTCCATGTTTTTGAGCATACGGTCACAAAATTCTACACACTTTACCTTATCGTTTGCACGAAGAGCCTGTACCAGTTGTAGGTGGTATGGTTTGTACACTAACCGACGCCTCAATACACGCCAGACAGCTATTTGTGATAGTCCAAGTTCTCTACTAGCACTATGGGTTGGCTTCATTGGGCTACGCTCAAAGCTCACTCAAATGTGCTCCACGTTCTCCTCCAATACACGCAATCGGCCCGGGCTTTTACCCTTACACAGAGAGCCAGTTTCATTAAATTGTTTATTCCAACGATAAATGCTCTTCCTCGGAGGTTGGATGTTAAACTTGCACGCTGCACCGCAGTCGCAGACTCACTTTTACTGAACTCACAAATGCAAAAAATCTTGTGTGGCATAGTAGCCATCTCACTTAAACTGACTTACAACTTACAACACTTACAACTGCTGGAGTGCTCTAGCAGTAGTATTAGAAACTTTACAACGTCCTCTTTCAAATGCACTTTACAGAATTCAAATGCAACATATAGTTCAGGAAATATAGCCAATTGAAATTGTGTCCATCTTTCTGAATCCCTCTGTATATAACCACAGTCAATAAGTTCGTGGAATGGCCGCAAAGCGTCGTACAGGAATTTACTGCCAATATGTTTCAGCAATGTTTTTCACATCTTTATCAACGTTGGCAGACTTGCATAGCGAACAATGGCAACTATTTTGAGGGCGGATGTGGATCTGCATAAGTGTATGTGAATACCTTGTAATATGCAATAAAACCACATTCCACGACTCTACCACATATATATAAATGCATTGATATTTTTGCTGTACTTTGAAATTCTGTTTGAAGTCATTGTCAGTGGATAGAATTGATTTAAATATGAACTAATTACTCATATTTTTTCTGTTTACTTGACTTTATTGCAGAGTATGCAGCAGAGGCATGGGATATTTCAAATTGGACAAACAGTTATGTTTTTCAGAAACTTATGAGAAACAGTGTACTGAGGTGCAGCATATACTGGGAGATTGAAAAGTCGCACACATCAAACTAAAAGTTGTTATAAACTGTATTGCAGTTAATAAAATTATATCTCCTACCTCTAGATGGTACTATAAGGGTACTAACAACGAGTAGAAATGCTATCTGTTGTGTATCGGTCATACAACGTCTGCAGTATAGCTTTGCTTATTGCGTGACAGACATGTCGTTTTCCCAAGATAATGAGTTTTCATGGAATTGAAGAGTTTGATCGGGTTTTCTTCACTGATGAAGCGTGGTTTCACCTTAGTGGCTATGTGAACAGTCAAAACAATAGGATTTGGTCATCTGAAAATCCACATGTGATACATGAAAAGCCCTTGCACTCTCATAAAATTGGAGTGTGGTGTACTGTATCATGTCTTTGAATAGTGGGGCCAATTTCGTTTGAAAGAACAGTTAACAGTCCGGTGTACCAAGACATCATTACACAGTTTATTGCGCTTCTTGAAGTTGATGAACGTGAGTGTTGGTTGCAGCAAGACGGTGCCACATGTCACACATCTAATGAAACCATTGCAGTTCTTGCGCGAGTTTTTCGGTGACCGTCTCATTTCGAAAGGATTGTGGCCCCCACATTCACCCAATTTGTCACCTGCAGATTTTTTCCTTTGGTGGTACCTCGAAGGGATTGTCTATAAAAACAATCCACATACACTGGATGACCTCAAGAGGAACATTATGACAGTGATTAACAGCATCAGTTTACAGGTGCTCCACAAAGTGGCCTCCAACATAGTAAAAAGAGCTTGCACATGCATTGCTAAACAGGGAAGCCATTTCGAGCATATGTTGTAAAGACATGATTTGATTTTGCATTTCTAAGATGTAAGGTTATAAACATTAATAGAAAGTGCTGTATGTCTTGTAGTTTGTGCATTAAACCAGCAAAATATAATTGCTTAGTGTGATGTGCGTGACTTTTCGATTTCCCTGTATAAGTTACATGAATGTTGAAAAGTATGACTTGTTGAATTTGTTAAGATGCTGCAAAAATTTGGGATAAGAGATCAGTCCTGTTAGGGAGAAAACTGGCAGTGAAAATGTTATGTAAGCTTCAAAGTAATCAGTCAACCAACCATCCAGTTCACAATTTGGGAAAATAGTGTACTTATGGTCTTGCTATCCATGGCCAGAAACTTAACCTTCAACTCTGGTTTCGTTTGATCACAGGGTTCCAATGAGCCATGCTACATTAATGTATTGTCCTGGATTAAGATTTCAACTCCTAGGAGGCCAGAAGATCCAATTCCACTATATGGAGGCATGAGGATCCCATGTAGCAATACAGTTCCAATTGAAAAGAAGAATTTTTATAAAAGACAGCCAACCACATTTGCTGTGATGGCAAATCCTGAAATTCTGCGACTGAGCGGCAAGACTGCAAAAGACCCAATGGTAATTTCTGTGATTATGCATAACACATTCATTCATCTGGAGCTTCTTTTTATGGGATACTGATGTCAAATATGTACTAATAAAGTGAAATTTTGTAACAAGCTTTCAAGTTAGGAACTCTGTTTTACTCTTGATTGAAATCCCTGTTTAAGAAGCCCACTAATTATATTTCAGTTATGGAGTTGTTAGCCTGCCCAAATTTACTTTACTTGGATATAGTTCACATACACACGTTACTGTTCTTGCTGTTTTATTTCAATAACAATTTAACAGTTTCCTGTTGAGATAGGAAGGTTGATGTAGTTGATTATCCTTACCATGACTTTTTTTTTCATTGTCTCAAAGCAAATCCCAGGATAGTACCTTGAAACAGATCATTACAACTTCTTCCAAATAGTTACCTACACATCATTCATTATCATTTTTTCAGCTCATATATTCTGTATATTCCTTGCAATTGAAATAGTGTAACTACTCATAACTTAAAATTCCATAAATTTTTCTGTTGAGCATGAAAAGTTAAACAGTTCTGTCTAGTGTGACTGGTGAGGATTTTTCTTATTTCAATTATTTATGCCCTTACATGTTTTGGTCTTCAGAGACCATCATCAGAGGGACACCTTTACATCAATACTGTTGGAAGTTACTATTACAATATACATGTTCTGAACGTTAAAATATATACATATAATATTAATAACATACAATTGGGTATAAAATCTAAAGTTTTTGCAACTACAGTGGCTGTTCCAATACATTAAAATATTTGTAATTGGTTTGTTAAGATTTTTTTGGAATTTATAAACCAAGTAGTTTCGTGTCTTCTTGCTGATTATTTCTCTTGATGGGGGCCGAACGTGTGTCGCCTTGTTGTTCTTGAGAAGAGGGTTCTGCAAAATCTGACAATTGTCACCAGTCACACTAGATGGAACTGCTTAACTTTTCATGATATTATTAGTGTTATGGACCAGGATAGGTCATGCAGTCATGAGCATAGCTCTGTAAGACATTACTAAGGTCATGACTTCCTGACCTATCCCGTGTAAGAAGATTCCGATATGCGGGCGCCCCACCATGTTATAGTTGCTTCTACTGGCGTAAAAACCAGGCCAACGCGTAGCGGTTGAAGAGTCTTACCACAAAAACAGAACTTTAACCTTCATGTCTTAATCTTTAGTCTCTAATTTTAATCTTTATCTCATTAACTTTCCATGTTATTATCTAAGGAATTTCAGCTTTGAAAATTTTGACCAAACCTTAATACATGTACAGGGTCCGGCAGGGAGGTGTGATGGTTTTCAGAAAACTAGTACACAGTTATTTTTGGATGAATAGCAAATTTTAATGTTTTTAAAGAATACATGTATAATGCCATTTAAGATGCTGTAACAAAAAATAAGAAAATTTAAATTCATTTTCAGAAAATAACATCATGCAAATGGCGGCCGTTATTGTCCAAGCATTGTTGCAGACGAGCGGAAAAGTTGTCCATAGTTTTTTGAAGCAAGTGGAATCACTTGAATTTCTCAGGTGATGGCATCTGAAAGCGCCTCAGGAATGCGTGGTTTGTCGATGTAAACCTTAGCTTTCAGGTAGCCCCATAAAATGTAATCACGCGCTGAAAGATCTGGGGATTGGGGGGGGCCACTCCACATCCCCACACTTTGAAATGAGGTGCCCAGGAAAATGTTCTCTCTATAAGACCATTGATTCTCTTGAGGTATGGCAAGTAGCCCCATCTTGTTGAAACCAAACTGTAGTGAGGTCAATGCGACGTCTTCGCAATTCAGGCAGTAAGAACTCACACAACCTTGTCATGTAATGTGAGTTTACTCTTACAGTGTGTCCACCTTCCATGAAAAAGTAAAGCCCAATTACACTGAATCGGGCCATTCCGCACCACACGGTGACTCACTCGCAGTGTAGGGGTCTTTGATGGAGTTCTTGGGGATTGTTTGCCGACCAATACTGGAAATTTTGTTTATTGATGCTTCTTGTCAAGTGAAAATGGGCTTCATCACTCATGATGAGAACTGTCATCCCTCAGCACTTCCAGCATTCTTTCAGCAAATGTAAACCTCTGTATGAAATCGTTCTGCTGCAGTTCTTGAACCACCATGATTTTGTATGGGTGATAGTGAAGGTCAAGGTGTATTCGGCAAACTGACCTCTCTGACATCTGTAGAGTGTGAGCGTGCCGTACCACTGACCAACATGGGCTGGTCTCCACAGCTTGTCGAACTCTTTCGATGTTTTCCGGAGTCCTGACAGTTTGATCGCCTCCCCGAGCTGTACCTGGTCTCACAGATCCAGTTGTCCTGAAGTTATTCACCCACATCAATATTGTGTTTCGAGACGGAATGGCGCCATGTTGATCAACATTGAAGTGAGGACGAAATCTGCACTGCATAAGCTCCACCGAACTACCTGCTTGAATAGACGTCTCAAAAACAAAGGTGCGATGTTCAATTGTCCAAGGTGCCATGGCTACTGAAATGGCGTCTAACAGCGAGTAACTGCCAACCATTGCGCATACGCTAGTCACCCTACCCCCACTTTTATACCCATCACAGATACGTCACACCTCCCTGCCGGACCCTGTATTTATGCATTTAAATAATTGCAAAATAATTCCAAGACACAATAAGGATCCTTGTTTGAAGAACTAGATGATAATTACTTGCAATTCATCAGCTCATACTGGAGCATTGTATGCCTGATGATGACCCGGTATAAGGGTCAAAACATGTTGCATCTGTAAAAGGATAATAAAAGCAAACGTTGATACAGTACTGTCTTCTTTGTTTTTAAATATAGAATATTGGTGTGTAGATGACATACCTTATATACTTTTGTTTATCTTAAGTATGCAGTCCTTGAAATAGTTCTAATTGCAAGCTTTATTCGTTAGTACTGAGGTTTGTGGTTCTCATCACAGTGACTATGAAAATTACTGTCTGCCAGGTTGTGATATATGTATACATAGGTACGATGGGGTACCCAAAAAAACCGAACTAATTTTTTTGTGGGCAGAGCTTTTGTGGTACCGCGTTTTGCCGCTATGAGTGCATAGAGCTAACATTCCTGAGTTGATAAGCCGACTACCAT